TTTGCGGTCAGAGCGCAAAGTCAAGATGCGCATAGCGATGGGTACGCAGACACGACGACGCTTATCGTAGGGCGATGGGATACCATCGAAGACACGGAGACGAGCCAAAGCAGCTTGACCGCGCTTGGTTTTGTGTGGGATCATGCCTGTAAATAGAAATACAAAAAAGGGGTTAATGTTTTTTCTTTCTTTTAGAATCGAGTAATAATAGATTGTTTAATAGCGGACTGTTGTCAGTTTTAAGTTTGGTTTCATGTTTTCACATCAAATAATGTAGGTAAGAAAATTTTGTTCATCATGTTAGATTGGCCCTTGTTGGCAATATAGTTTAATATTCATTTTGTTGTATTGTTTACATACCTAAAAAGAAAAGAAGAGAGATTCATTTAAACATTTGTTTTGCTTGTGGTGTTAATATATTTATGATAATATTTATAATCAGTTAAAGATTTGTTACATATTTTCGAATTCAAATAATGTAGGTAAGATAAAATTGTTCATCATTGAAGAGTTTAAAAAGTGGTTCTTAATGAAAGTTGAAAACAAGTTTGTGAAATATTCTTTTAAAACATTTGTTAGGTTTTTAGGATAATTAAGAAAAATATAAATAATATTTAGTGTCTCATTTTTAGGATCATCCAAAACAATAACTGGATTTGCAACAATTACAATGTTGCTAAAAACGTGATAAAAGTCCACCTGTTGAAGCATTAAAACAAAAATGCTTTTAGTAGAGCTTGAGGACTAATAACAAACTAAAAGTTGCCCTTACAGAAATGACCTTGAATGTAATAGCATCTTTGTTTACTAAACAAACAACATGAAATTACAAGGTTACCAAAGCCAAAGTTGAAGCCTCTGGCTTGGATTAACAATTTGTTGATCTCCAACTTTCATTTAAAACCACATTTTATTCATTACACACTAAATTGTTACTAAAATGCTAAAGAAACTTACCTCTAACAGCCTTGTAGAAGATTCTGGAAGGGGCACGGAAGTGGAATGGACCACGGGCAGGGTTGACATTGCAACGTTTGCGCAAGTAAGCCAAGTACTTGATCTTGTTTCTGTAGAAATGACCAGAAAGGTTCAATTCTTCGCAACGGACAACAGCAACTTTGCCACCTTGCAACAAATATTTGGCAACAACGGAAGCCAAACGGCCGACCAAATGGCCACGACCATCAATAACAACGGCCTAAAAATGAAAAACAAACCATGAAATATGTTTTGACTAAATTGAGGTTAGGTTTTTTTTACAAACAACAAAACACACATAAACAAATGCTGCAACTTAGCAAATTTTACTATTTGCTTATTAAAAATTACAACTTTTTACATTAATTAACAGAATTTAAACACTTTTGGTTTTATTTCACTTAATACAAGAGTATTTTCTGCTTTCCATTTAACACCAAACAATTTTCTATACATTTAACCAAATGCTTGATACAATGTCACTTTTACAGCACGTGTAAGTTGTGGTCGTAGTTTTTATGGAATTTTTCCATTTTTTCTTTAAAAATCTTGGGAATTTTTACACACATTTATTTTATCATTTGTTTAGGCACGTTTTTATTTAGTTTTCTACTAATTTTTCTCATTAAATTGGTGATTTTTCATAAATTTATCACCACTTACCCTATTCGTTAAACCAGTCATGTTTAAGAACCGCACGGAAAGAAATGGACGAGCCACGGTTGCTTTGGGCGGAAACGGCCATGTTGAAATTTTGACATTTCACATGCTTGCGCAAGCATTTAAATGTCAATTTGCAAACAGTGTTGCATGCAAAGCAAACAGAGTTGTATTTAAACTATTAAGAATATGACATCCCCGTTTTACAGCCGGCTAATTCCCTACAAGAACAGTGACAGTCATTTGATAGGTCATTTGACTGGCACTACTGACGTATTATTTCTATCACAGCGTAAAGCAAAGTTTCTATCAGTTTCTTAAGGCAAATGGACAAAAGTGATGGAAACATTTGTGTACATGTGATTTTTCTTCTCCCTTGCACTTATGAATTCTATCGACTTTAAAACATATATTTGAGCTCCTCACTCTTTTGTTGTTTACTAATCAAGGATGACATAAATATTAGTCAGGATTGACTGATCATGCTTGATGGATATATCTATCACAGTTAACAAATTAAAAATGATGTATTTATCGGTCATTGTTGACTAATCATATGTGATGAATATATCCGTCAAATGTGACGGCTATACCAATTTATAATAAAACACAATTTATTAATATTTTAAGATATATATTTGTTAATTTTATTAATATAATAAGCATGTACATAAATTAACAATCATTTCACCATTTTACATACATTGTGGAAATTTGTGGAAATAAATTGTCTGTAAGAAATACATATAAATATCGAAATATAAAAATTAAAAGTAATCATGTTACTTACCATAGATTGATTAAACTCCGCAGTGTATATCTTCAGCTCCACTTCCTGCACTATTTTTAAATTCTGTTTATAATAATTCTCTTTATTTGCAATAATTTATAGACTTTGTAAATTTTTAAATTTTTCGCTTCTTGATCTTTGGCTTTTACAGAAATAATTTATAACGTCGAAAAATATAACTCTAAACACAGTAACAGTCAAATGTAGTTGTTTCACTCTTTCATAAGCAAATGAAACCCTTTACCACACATTGGGTACATCAACAGTCATTTTACCGGTCATTTGACTGTCATTATTGATGGAATTATCCATTAACTATTTTTTTTAGCAATTTTATAAAAAAAATGTTGCAAGAGTGTTAGTGAAATCATTTTGTATGTGTTAGTTTCGGTCATACATTTCTTGTAGGGTTCGAGCAGAGACTTGCGCCGATTCGGCTCAAACCGACTAAGCCTAGCCGCCGAACAAAATGTCAAAGCCGCCGCCGCCGAAAATTTTTCAGCTTAATACGGCTTGATAATTTCGCCATATTTTGTACAATTTACAGAAAACTTTCGCTAAATTTATGGAATTTTACAATATAAAATTAATTTGTTTTCATTTAAGCAAGTTTTCTTTTATCTAATAATAAGCCGCTCATTGAAATTTGACCGTTGTAGAACTTTGCTCACGTTGAGCACTTGATTTACTTGCGTCTGTATCATCAATAATGGCAAAATAACCTTAGAAGAAATGAGGAAATGAGTTTGGATTCGAATGAATATTATTTCATTTCGAATGGCCTGTTGTAATAGGTCTGCAATATGCATACTCAATTGGTTGGTTACTTGGGATCATCACAATATTAATAAATAGCAAAGATCATCATCATGCATTATATAAATTTCAAATCGAATTTTTGGTATGTCATTAAAGCCGCCCTTGTTGATGGGATGTACCCTAATATTCGTCACCTAAAACGCAAACGGCCCTATCTAACATTTTTAAAATTTTACAGGAGAAGCATAAAACTATTTAAGTAAAAAAGTTTGTTTCTATCAACGCGATTTATTTGTAGTAAATAAACAAATTATTTAATAGTGAAACATATAATTTGTTATTATAGTTCACAATGGCGTATATAAAAATAGATAAATTTGACTTTTTACCTTTAATATTTAAATATTTTTGTAGATAGGGCCTTTTGTTTTTTGTCAATAAAATCGATAATTATGGCCGCAGCAGTTTAATTTTTGGTGTGGACATTTGTTTTGATGCAATACATTAGAACCAACAATCAAATCGATTTTGAATTTTTGGTTAGTTAGGGCAGTTTGCGTTTCAGGTGACGATACGAATGCATGTATATTGGATTCAAAGGTTAATCATATTAAATTGCCCTGAAGAAGAGAACCATTGAATTTAGACTCTATGATGAGTTCGTTGAATTTTGGTTCACCCTGGATAGTGTAAGGAAAAGCAAGAAATAGTTCCAGTTGTAATGGTGTACAATGTAATACTGCCTATTACAGTTGCTTTGTTTGCAGGTTTGTTGTAAGGTCAGAAAACGACTTTAACATGCATAACTAACATAAAAAATATAACACGATCGAGTTTTATATCAATCAAAATCTATATAGGCCATTATTGACCCTGCCACCCATATAAGGTCACCTTCAATAATTGATTTTAACGTTTTTTACGGACTTAATACCATAATAAAATAAGTTTTGTTGAAACGAAAATATATCACTATATTCACTGTGTGGTTTTGACTATTTACGCGTAACGCTATGGATTTTCTGATGTTAATTTAATAATCAAGTTAAAAACTGTGTATCACGTCGAAATGGCATATTTTATATTTAAAATTAACTGGATTAACGTATTGAAGACGAATAATGGGTTTCGGAAATATATTTTTTTTGTCCTTTTAAACGAGAACACTTTTGTTTACTGAAGTTCCCACCGAAAATGAAAGTTTAGGTCATTATAAGATATCGTTTCCCAAAATTTTTGTCCTTAGGCCAATATTTGGTGATCTGGTTCAAATAATAAAAATAAACTTTTTTGAAGTTTTTGCTATTTTATTTATATTTCACGTAAAGGAATGATAATTAATTTTGATATCATGTGAAAGGTCTTTGAGAGGCGCTTTTAATGACGTATTACAAATTTTTTATGAAGTTAAAAACAACAAATTAAAATGTTATTTAGATTATTAAAAATTTTATTATATAGAATACACTATGCGGCAAAAATAAATACCTGGAAAAATATAGGCCGATCATTATAAAACTTGGTGAAAGGATTTGGTTTTAATTTTTAAGAATTAATCAAATTTAATTTTTTTACATTTTTTCCATTCCTGTATAATTTCTCACACAACTTTTGTGCTTGCTCTGTTTTGTTGTTATAAACAATATATTTGCTTCAAAAATCCCACTTTTTTATCTCTCGGACTCCGTTTTTATTTAAAATCGTTGAAAATTTAAAAATTAAACGTATTTGAGAACTTACAGTCGATTTTAAGCCGCCGCCGATATTTTTAGTATCAGCCGCCGCCGCCATAGTTCAGAAAAACAAACAAAAAGAAAATCCTAAACAAGTTGACAATTTAAAAGGAACAAGAAAGATAAAAATTTGCTACAAAAATCGGCTTTCTTCCATAAAAATTTTAAAAAATTATTAATTTTTACTAATTTTAAATTGTTTATAAAGTGTTATTAATAAAATTAAATTGTTTATTGCTCAATTGTTTATAAGGTACATAATTGTTTGGTGTTATTTTGTTAAGAGGAGAAATGTTTTGCAATTTTATTTTGACCACTCCCCATATAAAGAAAAACAAGTGCATTTTCTTTTTTGGTGTTGTTGCTATTGTTGAGTGTATTATGGTGGCAGGTCTTTGTTATCTTTTTATACATTTGGCCTAAAAAATTTTATTTTTTACTTTTTCTTTATAAAATTTTAGATGACTAATCAACTGTAATCTTATACATTAAAATATCACTATTAATAATACCATTGTGTTGTATTGTATTTGTAGTAACGTTTAATTCTTTGGCAAAAGAGTAGAAAAGAAATTTTAAGTGAAAATGTGGAAAGCCACTGCTGGTTTGCAAATACAAAATACCGCTGATGCTGAAGATGATGACTGGGAGACGGATCCTGACTTTATTAACGATGTTAGTGAACAGGAACAAAGATGGGGTGCCAAAACCATAGAGGGCAGTGGTCGTACAGCCGGTGCTATAGAGTAAGTTTTATTTTTACTCTTGTATTAATACCAACAAATAATTAACCTGTTCTTCTTATTAAGTATGGATAAACTGCGTGCCGAAACTGAAAAAGCGGATCAAGATAAAAAACGCAAGGAAATTGAAGAAATCAATCCCGGCTATGGTTATGGTGGTAAATTTGGTGTACAAACTGATCGCATGGACAAATCAGCTGTGGGTCATGACTACCAGGGCAAGGTAGAGAAACATGCCTCTCAAAAAGATTATGCCACTGGCTTTGGTGGCAAATTTGGTGTCCAGTCTGATCGTGTAGATAAATCCGCTGCCGGTTGGGATCATATCGAAAAGGTGGAGAAACATGCCTCACAAAAAGATTATGCCACCGGATTTGGTGGCAAATTTGGTGTTCAATCTGATCGTGTGGACAAATCTGCAGTTGGTTGGGATCATGTGGAAAAGGTGGAGAAACATGAGTCACAAAAAGGTTGGTTGTTTATTTATAGATTATAAGGGGGTCTTATAATAGCTTGTTTTCATTTTGTTTTTTGTCAGATTATTCCAAAGGTTTTGGTGGTAAATTTGGTGTTCAGGAAGATCGCAAAGATAAATCTGCTGTGGGTTGGGATCATATTGAAGCACCGCAAAAACATGAAAGTCAAGTGGATCATAAAATTGTGAGTAACAAAAGAAATTTGTTTTTTTTTTTTAACACAAATTCAATGTTTTTGTATGTCGAATTTGTTTATGTTTGCAAATTTAAGTCTGCTTGTAAAATGATGAAGGGATATCAAAACCATATAAAACTTTGTTACAAGTTTATATTGCTATCTGCAAACAAAAGATGACTAATATTTGTCGATTCATTTTAGACACACTACTTTCCCTTCCCAGCTCTAAATGAATATATAATTATGAAACAGTTTTATTCATAAATTAAAACATTCGGTTATTAAAAATTTCTATAATGAAATGCTTTTATTTTGGTGAAATGGAGCATGTTCGATTCGATCAAAACCAAAAAAGTGTTTTGGTTGAGGCTTGTGGGAAAAAGAACACTTTTATTAAAAAATATCTTTTAAAACAATCTCTTTAATGGTTCTCTGCTGAAAATCTGGGTTTTTAGCTAAAGTTTTTATTGAAGTTTCGAACATATTTAAACTTCCAAACCAGTTCTTTTTTTAGTACTTTATAATATCTTCTTTGCATTATCTCTTCACCAGGGTTTCGGCGGCAAGTTCGGTGTACAAAAAGATCGTATGGATAAATCGGCTGCGTCATACGATGATGGTGGTAAACAACAAGTTGGCACAAATTATACAAAAACTAAACCAGTCATTGAGGGTGTTAAACCCTCAAACCTACGAGCTAAATTCGAAAATTTAGCTAAAAACTCCGAAGAAGAAAGTCGTAAACGGGCTGAGGAACAAAAACGTTTACGCGAAGCTAAAGATAAAAGAGACCGCGAAGAGGCGGCCAAGAAAACAGTGGTGGAGAATAAACCTCTACCAGCGGCCGATGAAGCTAAACAACCGCCACCAAAGGGAGCACGTTCACATATTGTGACCGGACGTGAGGGCGGCATAGGTAATGCTATAAGTGCGTTCAATCAAATGCAATCACCCACTAAAGAGGAAACCACCGCTGTACGCAAAGAACCCATACACATTCCAAGAGAAGTTAAGAGCGAGGTAAAGACGGAAGTAGAACAAATTGAAGAGATTAAACCCCAGCCGCAACAACAACAACAGCAACAACAACCGGAAATAGTGGCTGAAGTTAAGCAAGAGGTGCAGCAAAAAGTTATGGCTCCTCCTCCTGACCTAATACCCTCTATAGAAATACAAACTGTGGCTACACCACCTGAAGTGCAATCACCTGAGCCACCTCATACCACTGAAGATACTCAAGCCTCCCCAGTTGCAGCAGTGGTAGAAGAACCTGAGCCTTTATATCAAAATCAAAGTGAAATTCAACAACATTCTGTTCCTAAATCACCAGAACCATCTATACAAGAACAACAACAACAACAGCAGCAGCAACAAGCTCAACCTGTGTCTCAAACTGAAACTGCCGTTGCTCAGGAACCTGAACTTTATGGAAATTCTGAAAATCTAGCCGATTATATTGAGGATACTCATATTCATGCTATTGCTTTGTATGATTATCAAGCTAACGATGACGATGAAATATCCTTTGATCCTGATGACATTATTACGCATATTGAAATGGTAAGTGAAAAAAGAGACAAATTGTAGATAGAGATTGTATAAAGAAGAGACTGGTTCGTTTGCCACGATTCTTGCCATAGAAACATAATTTGTCTTCATGAGTCGTGATAGGATCCGTTTCGGGTATCTCAACGGGACACTAGTGCATCAGCCTTCTATTGACTGACTGCCTCTTTAACCTAAAATGGTTAATATCAAAATTTCAAAATTAAATTCGAAGTTATGTTCGAAAATTCTTTAAAACTATTAAAATTATTATCTGCCCAATATTCGAGCCCAATATTTTAAATTTTCGGGTTTCGAACATAAATATTTCGAAAATTATTTAAAAACTTTTCATGAATTATGAAGTATTTTCGATGTAATTTCGGAATGTGAGCTTTTTAAAAGATGTTCGAAAATTCGAACTTATGTTCGAAAAATTTTTAAATCTAGTAAAATATTCTTTAGATCATAAGGATTCATAAAAATACAATTTTAGCTTCATTCGAGTCCAATTTTTTAATATTTCGAGTTTCGAACATAAATATTTTAAAAATAATTTAAAAAATGTTCATGATTTATAAAGTATGTTGAATGTAGTTTTAAATATCGGATTTTAATAGATGTTCGAAAAAATTTTCAAGCTAATAAAATAATGTCTAAATCATGAGGATTGATAAAAATACAATTTTAGTTTCAATCGAATCATTTTTTTTAATTTTCGAGTTTCAAACATAAAGATTTCGAAAATTATTTAAAAAATGTTCATGATTCATAAAGTATGTTTAATGTTGTTTCAGAATATAGGCATTTTTTAGATGTTCGAAAATAAATATATTTCGAAAATTATTTAAAAAATCTTTATGAAATATAAAGTATTTTCAATATACATAGTTCCAGAATATTTCATTTAAATGGGTGTTCGAAAATTCGAATTTAAGTTCGAATTAAATTTAAAACTTTTTATAAATGTCATATTTTATTTTATAAAATGAACAATCGCATATTGATGTAATTACAATTTAATTTCTTTTATTTCTCTTACAGATCGATGAAGGCTGGTGGCGTGGTTTATGTAAAAATCGTTATGGTCTCTTCCCGGCCAATTATGTGCAAGTTATTAATAATCAAAATTGAGTTCTTATAGCTGAGCATGATAACAACCTTCGATCCCAACTACAATAACAACTATTGAAGTTTTATCTAAATCAAAATTTTGTTTAAGTATTTTATTTTATTTTCTTTATTTTACTTTTCTAAACAACGATGATACTGATTTTCTTTTTCTGTCCACAAATCAAGTCAATTTACATATTTAATGTATGGAGGTATTAAACATTCTTTTTTGTATGTTTCAAACATATGTATTTTTTACAAATATTTTATTTTTTTATATTTAAAAATTTTTTTAAATGCATTTTTGTCTACATTTCATTTAAACTAAATTAAGCATTTAACACTTAAAAACTAATATTGTTATTATAAAATCATTACAAACTAAAAAAAAATCATGTTTAAAGACAAGGCATACGTACATATACTACAAAATTGTGTCAAAAAAGTCAATAATTTAACGGAAAGCTAAACAAAAATATAAAGAAATTATGCAGACTGTATTAAAAAGTTTTACTAAATAAAAGTTGAACCTTATTAAAAAAAACTACCCCAACTTAATGATTAATTACTCAATTTATTTGCTGAAATTAAACAATAAACGTGAGTTCAAAACTCTTTTGAAATATTCTTTTTTTATACTTGTTTAAATACTATAATATATAATTTTAGATAATGTCTACTAAATATTAATAATTTGCTTTAGTTACTTACAAAAATTTGCAAGTTTGAGTGTCAGGGGTATTAAGATAAGATGTGCGTGCTTGTCTGAACGCTACCGGCAAATGACAAAACGAACAAAAAAAAAACATACCGACATTTCACAATCATGTCAAATTTTGTGCTACAATGATTTGAAAATTCTGTTTCTAGCTTGTAAAAAATCTTTTTGTTTGAAATGTGAACATTTTAATCGTTGGTGTATTAAATGCCTCAACTAAAAAAACCCAACCTCTTGTTTGTTGTCTATAAAATGTTTGGGTTTTTTTTCGAATACAAATCTTTAAATTTAAATGTATGTTGAACTTTTTTTAGCACAAGGTTCTTTAGTACCTAAAAACCTAAGTTTGCTGCCAAAAATTGTATTCAGGCAAAATTCAGAACATGTGTTAAACAATGTAATTTGGTTAATTAGTTATAAGAAGTTAAAATGAAGGCTTAGGAACCTTTTTCAACCATGATTGCACTTATCCTTATGTCACACATTCAGATCGTAATGCTTTCAATTCCATAGGTTTTGTTAAATTTGAAATATATTTAACTGAATTGATTCTAGGGCGTTCGAATATCGAACAGAAATATACTAAGCTTCACCGAAAGTCGAGCTATAAACAAGTCATAGGTGTATTCTCCATATCACACCTAATCCAGGAATGTCGGTCATCCTTAAATAGGATTGGGATACATTCAAACATCGTAATCGTATGGGTACGAGAACACGGATCCTACAGGCAACTGTGTCGCTAACAAACTCGCGAAAATAGGTTCACAAATGTCAGATTTGGACATAGAAATTAAAAATTTGGCTTGATTGGGAGCACACGAACTATCATCTCAAGTAAAATCGATCCCAACTCAGCAAAATGGTAGGTCTTATCACAGGGTATTTTAAATTTGGTAACCATGCAATCAGACTTAGAATACCGCACAATGGCTACAGCAGACGATGTCAAGATGAGGTAGAAGAGGCACCAACTAAAAATCTTCGTTTCCTCGACAATTGGATCTTCGCTCCGGAATGACCCGATTCTCAATCGGACAAAGATTGTCAACTCAGTCGCAGCCAATGTGTTACAACAACAAATGCAGTCTTTTATGGCACTGTCCACAGGAGACAGTGTTCGATAATCGGTACATAGATCTTTGTGTCTTACTTCAGAGTTTTCTGGAATTAAACTAGTGTGATGAACCAAACCTATAAAGTAGGACTGACCTGTAGCTATCCCGATTATAAGACTCTCCTCATTCTGAATAATAAGCCCCCGGGCTGTTTGTTTCCTTCCCTGTACATAAAGCATGCAAACGGGAAATAAAGTTAGTTTGTTTGTTAGTTGGTTAGTTAGTTAGTTAGTTAGTTAGTAGTAGTTAGTTAGTTAGTTAGTTAGTTAGTTAGTAGTAGTAGTTAGTTAGTTAGTTAGTTAGTTAGTAGTTAGTTAGTTAGTTAGTTAGTTAGTCTAGTTAGTTAGTTAGTTAGTTGTTAGTTAGTTAGTTAGTTAAGTTAGTTAGTTAGTTAGTTAGTTAGTTAGTTAGGTTAGTTAGTTAGTTAGTAGTTAGTTAGTTAGTTAGTTAGTTAGTTAGTTAGTTAGTTAGTTAGTTAGTTAGTGTAGTTAGTTAGTTAGTTAGTTAGTAGTTAGTTAGTTAGTTAGTTAGTAGTTAGTTAGTTAGTTAGTTAGTTAGTGTAGTTAGTTAGTTAGTTAGTTAGTTAGTTTAGTTAGTATTAGTTAGTAGTTAGTTAGTTAGTTAGTTAGTTAGTTAGTTAGTTAGTTAGTTAGTTAGTTAGTTAGTTAGTTAGTTAGTTAGTAGTTAGTTAGTTAGTTAGTGAGTTAGTTAGTTAGTGAGTTAGTTAGTTAGTTAGTTAGTTAGTTAGTTAGTTCGTTAGTTAGTTAGTTAGTTAGTGTTAGTTAGTTAGTTAGTTAGTTAGTTAGTTAGTTAGTTAGTTAGTTAGTTAGTTAGTTAGTAGTTAGTTAGTTAGTTAGTTAGTTAGTTAGTTAGTTAGTTAGTTAGTTAGTTAGTTAGTTAGTTAGTAGTTAGTTAGTTAGTTAGTTAGTTAGTTAGTTAGTTAGTAGTTAGTTAGTTAGTAGTTAGTTAGTTAGTTAGTTAGTTAGTAGTTAGTTAGTTAGTTAGTTAGTTAGTTAGTTAGTTAGTTAGTTAGTTAGTTAGTTAGTTAGTTAGTTAGTTAGTTAGTTAGTTAGTTAGTTAGTTAGTTAGTTAGTTAGTTAGTTAGTTAGTAGTTAGTTAGTTAGTTAGTTAGTTAGTTAGTTAGTTAGTTAGTTAGTTAGTAGTTAGTTAGTTAGTTAGTTAGTTAGTTAGTTAGTAGTTAGTTAGTAGTTAGTTAGTTAGTTAGTTAGTTAGTAGTTAGTTAGTTAGTTAGTTAGTTAGTGAGTTAGTAGTTAGTTAGTTAGTTAGTTAGTTAGTTAGTTAGTTAGTTAGTTAGTTAGTTAGTTAGTTAGTTAGTTAGTTAGTTAGTTAGTAGTTAGTTAGTTAGTTAGTAGTTAGTTAGTTAGTTAGTTAGTTAGTTAGTTAGTTAGTTAGTTAGTAGTTAGTTAGTTAGGTTAGTTAGTTAGTAGTTAGTTAGTTAGTTAGTTAGTTAGTTGTAGTTAGTTATTAGTTAGTTAGTAGTAGTTAGTTAGTTAGTTAGTTAGTTAGTTAGTAGTTAGTAGTAGTTAGTTAGTTAGTTAGTTAGTTAGTTATACAAATTACAATAATTAATTGCCTACAATAAAAAAACAAAACTTTTTCTAATGATAAACAAATAAATACTAAATTTACAGCCTATATGTATTTGCAGATTGTTTTTTATACAATTTATTTATAATATTTTCTTTTATCAATTTGAAAAAGAAAAACTCCCCATTATCTAAAAAAATCCCCATTTAAGCACACAAAAAAGCAACACTGTTTATTTACTTACTGTTTGCACAACTGTTACTCAGTTCTATAAAAACAAATTTTAACTGTGTACTTTCTTAGTAGTTTGACGTTTGTCGTTGATTAGAGTTGAACTAACGTGAAATTAAGGAAAAATAAAAGAGCAGCAACAACAACAAATATACACTCGCACAAAAAGAAAACGAAAAGAAAGAAAATAAAATTTTATTAGTAGAGAGATTGCTGGTGGTTTTTATTATAAAGGAATTTTACTTGTTATTAACAAAATAATAATACAAAACAAAAGAAGAGATTCATTTTAAAAAGTGATAAAAGAAGTTCCCTATAAATAACAGAAAGAAGTAAAATAAAAGTGAAAAGCTGTATAAATAAAAGCAGAAAGAATTATTTTTGTTACACACTCTGGCATTTAGTGATTTTCTTGATGGTCTCTTAATTATGCTGGTATTATGAAAAAGAAACAAGTGTTACTCTTTTAAAAAATAAGAAAAACAAATAATTTTTAAATTTATTTCGGTTTAAACAAAGGCATTAAATATTTTGATTGTTAAAGAACAAAAAAAAAGTACGCATTTTTGCAAAATACATAAAGAACTGCCAACGTCTTCAATTCAATAAAATAATAATCAACGTTAAATACAACAACAAAACAACATCAACTACAACAAGAAGAAAATTGCAACAAGAAACAACAAACAACAAAGTGTTCTTAATTAACAACTTCAAAAAAAGAAAATAAATTATTAAAAAACCCTTAAAAGTAAGTTTTAATGCAAATTCATTTTGTTTTATTGATTAAAAATTCTTTGTGTATTATTAAATTTTTTTTATAAAAATAACTCTGTTTTTATCATTTCTAACAAATCTATTCTAATTGTTAATATGTACAATTCATTCGTGTCAAAATTTACACACATACAACACAATTTCAATAACAGGTCGGTGTTGCCATGGTTTTGGGAAAAAAATGTTTGTGCTAAATCTTTTTACAAGCAGGATATTTATGGGAAATGGAAAGAAATTATTGAGAGGAGCTAAAGAATAATATTTATAAGTTATAAAAAAAACTATAATTACAAAATTTACAAAAGCATTTTCTATACATAATAGAGAATTTAAAGAATGTTTTCTTTAATTTTGATAATTTTCGAATAGAACATTTAACGAAAATTTTTCTTTAACAAATATTTTATACAAAAATTTTATGAAGAGGAATTTTCAAAATAAATAGAAAAATTAAAAAAAAAACAAATTATGTAATTCAAAATTTCTAAAAAAAACTGTAAATTTGTAAAAGAGGAAATTTGCAAAAAATAGAAAATTTACAAATTCTATACAGAAAAATTACTATTCTATACAGAATAAAAAATTTATCGAATATTTTCGTTAATTTAAACAAAAAATTATAATTTTCGAATGAATATTTAATGAAAACTTTTCTATAACAAACATTTTATATAAAATGTTAATATTTTTTTAAAGAAGTGATAAGATAATTCAACAATAATTTCTAGAGATACCAAAATTCTATATAAACAGAAAATTTAACGAAATTTTTCCAAAAGTACAAAAATAAAATTTAACAAATATCTTCGAATAGAAAATTTTAAGAAAATTCATTTATAAAAAAGTTAAAGAATCATTTTGTAAATTGAAATTTCATAGAATTTAGTATAAATTTTATAAATATTTTCTAAAAAAATAAATTTTAACAAAAAAATTTTAAGAAAATTTATTTATAAAAAAATTAACGAATCATTTATAAATTGAAAATTCACAGAATTTAGTATAAATATGATATTTAATAAATTATTTCTATAAAAAAAAATTTTAACAAAAATTTTCTATTTATAAAACTATAAGAAAATTCAACGAAAATTTTCTATAATTAAAAAAAGTAACAAAAAAATTTTATAAAATTAAAATTAACAAATATTTTCCTCAAGTTAAAAATTAACTTTAAAATTTAATTAACATTTCTGTAAATTTAACAATAATTTTTTATAAATTATAAATGTTCATTTGTTTTGTAAAAGTTTGGGAAATTTTTCTATTTAGAAACTTCAAAGGACAATATCTCAGTAAATACAAGAAATTTTGGTTAGTGTAGTCTGTCAGACCGGCGGTTGTGGGTTCGTTTCCCACCAGAAACACTGGTAAAAGAGCATAAAATGGGTCCAATGAAAGAATAGGTGTATTTCATCGGATTTGATGTAATATGCATCCTCCTTTTTAACTAACTATGAAAAAATTATGACAAATTATGTCCCTTATTTTGTAAAACATTTCACCTTACGTTGAAATTATCTTCATACAAATTTTGAAAATATAAAATCAATTTATATAAAAAATGCAGTGAAGTGAAGGGAATGGATTTACATATTAATGCCTACAGATTGGACTACGATCAAATATCTAACTCAAATCATCATTTAAGTTCGGTTCGTTTCTCGTTTCGTTTCCCACCATATACACTATGGGAAACTATGGGAAAATTATGACAAACCTTACGTTGAAATTATTTTCATAAACATTTTCGGAAATACAAAAACAATTTATATAAAAAATGTAGTGAGGGGAAGGGATTTATACAATTAATGTCGATAGATTGGACTTTCTCAAATCTTCATTTAAGTTCTGAATTATTTTAAAGCAAAGAATACAAGGTTGTCAGTTCTTACAACGTTGGCAGCAAATGTACAAAAAATGTAAAACAATCGTGTGAACCTACAACGTTATCAGAAAAAGCAATATATTCTGAAAGATGTTGCAAGGTAAAAATTGTAAGTTGACACGGTGTTAGACAGTTTATGAAACAATTTTCTGCCAACATTGTAAGATCTAATAACCTTAAGTGTAAAATTTTGTATTTAAAATTTTTTTTTTAAAAGAAATTTATTTTGTAGTAAAATCAATATGTTTCAGAAAATAGAACTTCAATATTGAACTAAAATACCAAACCTTTTGGGATTTATAATAAACCAACAAAATGGCAACACTATTAACATTTATAACATTCATCTTCTTATGTTTTTGCTTCCGTTCACTGTTGCCAACTTTTTTTCCCAAAAAATATCGCTAAAGTCGACTGAAAAAATAGCTAGAAAATAGCTAAATTCAAGACATTTTGAAAAATTTAGCGATAAATCGTCAAAATAATATTTATTATATGATTCTGAAAAGAAATAGCTAAAAAAACTAGCTAAATTTTTCAGATTTTTATATTATTCTAAAAGTCAGCGATTTATCGCTAAAATCTATATATGTACATACGTAGGAATGGGATAGTGATACAAACACATAAGAGAATCTTTTTTTATGTTAAATATTTTCACTTTGGGTTAGGAGAAATGTCAAGTTGAGGTTAATTTCGATATGCGACCCTATACAGATTGCTTTAAAAATGTAAAGATAATTGAATTTCGAAATGCTGGCCATTATGGATCGATCCTTTATTTCGGCATAAGAGTATTATTTATTTTTCCATTACAATACAATTACAAATTATATTCTAACCTAATTTACCGAGCAGGGTGACGATAACCATACGACCGTTGTAGTGTAGCAGACCAGGATCTCTGCTGGGAATCGAACCCACAACCCCCAGACTGACAGGCTAGCACACTACCAACTAGCCTACCGGGGCACCCAAGATTATTATTATATACTCTTTTGTGGGAAGTTTATCTACAATATCGATATGCGGCCCTATACGCCTTAGAAATGTGGTAAATTCTTAGGACTTTATGGATCGATCCTTTCGTCACTTATTTCCAATGTTCACTAATTTTTAGAATTATGGTAAATTTTATTATCATATCACTCATTTACTAAAAGACTAGAATAATTAAATATTCGTTTTTTAATTGAGTACAACAAAATATACCCCTTTTAAAGTTTTTCGTATAATTTTACCTGTACGCACAAATATTTGCTCCTAATTATGTTCTTCAGAACATTCAAAATAATACACACAGCAAAAACTCAAATAATTTACATTGAATGCATATTTTTATATACATACATACATATATGTAAATATCGTCATTCGTAGCAACTTTTAAGCGATATTATCAAATATAAATGAATAAAAAATGCCTTAAAATCTAAAGAAAAATCGCTAGATTTCCCGCTAATAGCTAAATCATATTTTTCCCCGCAAAATGGGATTAAAAATCGCTAGATTTGACGAGAAAAATAGCTGAATTGGCAACAGTGCTTCCGTTCTCCATAGGAAATGTCAAATGAGCACAAAACATACTCTCTCTCACTCTTTATAGTTTCACATTCTCTTATTACAAAGAAAAATTAACAAATTGCTTATTTTCTTTAAAATAAATTGCGAAATTTTTACTTGCGAGTTACTTATTACATACTTTATTTAATGAAAATTATAGAAAAACTGTTAAAATATAATTTTGATTGAATGTTTTTTTAAAAAATTTTATTCAATTACCATCATAATTATCATGCATGTCTAACGTATTTTGTGTTTTTTTTTTTGTTTATTTACATTTTGTATCTTTTTAATAGGAAGCTGAATAACTTTGTTTTTTTTTTGTTAAATTTGCTAATAATTTGCATATTAATTTGTTAAATTTTTTAAACACGTTTTAGACAAATTTTAATGTTCAGCCATGCGTAAAATATTAAATATTATTTTGGTTAGACAAAGAAAAAATTATTTAATTTTCTAATTTTAATAAAAAAGTGTATTTCACAGCTGTTACTTTTCATAATTATATTCCAGAAAAATATTACTAGATTATTATAAAATTGCTGATTAAAAATATATTGGAAAAATTTAATAATTCTGTTAAAAACATTTAGTGCAGTTTCCAAGTATAACTGTAATTTTAGAAATTTTTATATTTTAAATTTATTTAACGGCCCTTGTCTTCCCACCTTCGTGTTTTTACATTAGTAATTTACACATTTTATTTTAGAAATAAAAATAATAATGTTTTCTGATTTACAATTTGATATCAGTTACATTTATTTATTTTTATTGTTTTCTTATTTTCATTACTAATGACCTTCATTTTTGAACAATTGTGTTTATGTTTTACTTAAATTACAAATGTAAGTTTTATTTCTACTCATATTCTTTTACTAGTTATCTTCAGTTGTTTCAAGTTAATATTTTTTATCTTTAGAAACTAGAGAACTGAACTATAATTAAACTAGAACTAAACTAGAACTGAAACTAGGAATGAACCTAGAACTGAACTAGAACTGAAACTAGAACTGAACTAGAAACTGAACTAGAACTGCAACTAGAAACTGGACTAGAACTGAACCTAGAACTGAACTAGAACTGAAACTAGAACTGAACTAGAACCTGAACAGAACTAGAACTAGAAGAACTAGAATCTGAACTAGAACTGACACTAGAACTGAACTAGAACTGAACGTAGAACTGAACTAGAACTGAACTAGAACTGAAATCGAAGGAACTAGAATGACTAGAACTGAACTAGAACTGAACTAGAAACGAACTAGAACTGAACTAGAACTGAACTAGAACTGAACTAGAACTGAACTAGACTGAACTAGAACTGAACTAGAACTGAAACTAGAACTGAACTAGAACTGAACTAGAACTGAACTAGAACTGAACTAAACTGAACTAGAACTGAACTAGAACTGAACTAGAACTGAACTACAACTGAACTAGAACTGAACTAGAACTGAACTAGAACTGAACTAGAACTGAACTAGAACTGAACTAGAACTGAACTAGAACTGAACTACAACTGA